GTTTTAAATGATTGGATTTTGAGATATTCCTGCATTGGACTTCATATTCAAGAAGGGAGGTTTGATAGCTGGTGAAACTGCTAATGTTATAATCATATACTTAGAGCATTCATAGCCTTGGCTGTAATTTTAGAGTCTTTTGTCATATGAATTGTAACTGAGTAAGGTAGCCACTTTCTTCATGTAAATAAACAGAAACATATTTTCCCACACATATTAATATATACACTCTTGCTTCTATGGATTTTTTGGAAAAAGAATTTCTTATGTTACTAGCAACAGATGTCTGTTTGGAACTGGCAGGAGAAGGAAGTAAGCAAAATGCAGTGCTAAGGGATTTGATGAAGTGTTTTGTCAGTAATTCTTTCTTTCCTGAAAAGGATGTTTCTGTCACTGTGGTTTTGCCAATAATTTTAATAGCTACAGCTTAGGAGTCTGAGCTGGCAAGAAACACTTTTCTGAATCTGAAGGTATTGGACATTCTCAAGCTGCACTGATGTAAGTTAAGCATGTCAGATGGTGCAGCCACAAAGAGTAATGGCTCACAGCCTCTCCTATCCTTGATTTATTATAATTTAAAAACGGTTGTTCTTGTGAACTTTGTAAATTCAATCTAATGAAAGTGCATAATGTGCCTATTTGGAAAATTTTAGTAGCCTGTCTGGCTGCGTCTGAAATGACTGAGGTGTAAAGGATGTTGTGATGCTTTAACCTCAGCTGGCAACTGAAAATCAGAAAAGTGTGAAAACYTGTGGGTTGACTTAAAGACARTTTAACAGGGAAAACAAAAGCYGTGCACACAAACAAAGCTAAATGAGGGCTTTATTCAGTGCTTCACATGGGCRGGCAGGTGTTCAGCCATGTCCAGGACAGCAGGGCCCCATCATGTGCAATGGTGACTTGGGAAGACAGCACTCTGAATGCCCCCATCTTCCTTCTTATTTCCGCYACCTCATATACTGAGCAGGATGTCATATGGTCTGGAATATCCCTTTGGTCACTTGGGGTCAGCTGTCCTGGCTGTCTCCTCCCAACTCCCATGCACCCCCAGCCACTTTTCCAGTGTGCCAGCACAAGAAGCAGAAAAGGCAGAGTAAGAACTGCTTGGCAGTAATGATGTCATCTCTACATTATCAACACCATTTTCAGCACAGAGCCAAAACACATCCCCATATTAGCCACTGAGAAGAAAATTAACTCTACCCCAGCCAAAACCAGCACAGATGTCTTGGTAACTTCTTTTTTTAAAAGAGTTCTACATAATACTCTGTAAATTACATATATATTTCATGCTTCTGTAATAAGATTACTKTCACACTTTAGTTATAGGTAACAGGTGCAATCCACAAGTATACTTCAGATTGAAGTATTCCATTTGAAGACTGAAGACTTCAGACTGAAGTATTCCTTTCAATTCATTAGTTCATTACAGTCAATAATCAGCTTTTCAGTAACGGAGACCTTAGATTTATGGATGCTGTACACGACAAAGATGGGCCACCAAGTCCCTATCCATCTTGCTTATATAGAACTTGTTCATGTCACAGAATTACAAGCATTCTAAAAAATAGCTTGTCACTGTTCTCTGCCAGTATAGACATAAAAAGACAAAAAGGCTATTGAAGCTGTAACTGAAATTGCTGCCTTCTGGAAAAGACTGTGAAGGATTTAGTAGGCGTAATTGGGAATCTACTTACAAGCCTTTAAATCAGTTAATTGCTTAATCTGGATTATAAGAACCTGAATGGGTCATAGAATTACGATTTCTTACCTTTTGGGGCTGAGGGATGCCCTGCTTATCTATCACAGGTGACTTGGAATGCTTTTTACTGAAAAAGTAGTTAGAAATTCTTTATTAGTTCTGTGGACTGTTTGTGAAAGGCATGCAAATCACAGCTGCTTACATGCTTTTGTGTGTCTGAGGTTTTCTTTATATTTCTTTTTGATCCAAATATTTTTTTAGAAGTTTGTTCCATGTTCATAACTGGGCATTCAGACTGCTTTGTTCCTGCATTTTATCTGAACCTGATAAGAATTACTCTTAACACTGTTAACAGCCTAACATTTTGTTCTTGTAGAGAAATTTCAGATTTGGGAACAAATCCAGTACAGTTATTTTGTAGTGAATAGCTGTTAGTCTAAAGTGATGTAAGCATAAATGAGTGCACATATGAATATTTGGTTGTTTAGTGTTTTCTTCCTTGCAAGGTAAATTCTAGCTTGTCARTCACATTTGTTTAATTCACAAGGGTGTCAGTTCTGTAAATTCATTCAGATACCTGAAAATTAGTCTGTATATTTTTATGGTAGAATCAGTATGCTTTAAATAAAATTAAAAACTGTATTTGGAAAGAAGGGCAGAGCTTGGCTTAGAGTTGAGTTAATGTTCTGATAATCACAACTCAACTTTGATGGCTAAATCACCTGACTAAGCATGTAAATCAGTTTGCTGTCTGTCTAACAAGGCCTGTCCTTGAACAAAGCTGTAAGTTAGGATGGCTGCTCTAAGTGAGGAGATCCTGAGTGCTATGGATTGTTTAATATTTGCTGATGAATACAGTATTCAGTGTAACATATGAATACTTATGCTTTGGGAATCTCATTCTAGAGATGGAGTAATAGTACTGCTATATAAAAAGTTTAAAACTTTGCAACTGTGAATTTCATTGCTGAGAAAGTGCTGCAGTGAATAGTTTTTGTGGCCAGACAAGACCTCTAGGAAGAAGCATGAAAGGGTATTAAGTGCATGTTTTTRAATCTCAAATTGGATCTGTTTATTTCCATGACACAATATTCCTACATTCAAAAAAACTCCTTTAATATAAAAGTTACACATATTTTCCCCCTAAGTTTAAAACCTGTCTATTGTTGAGTGGTGTCATTGCTATTTTAAAAACATTGTTCTGTCACAAGCATAAAAGAAGGAAGAGAAATGTGATCTTTTTCTTTATTTTTACAGGGTAACTTACAGCTTCTGCAGAGCTGCCTGGCAGTGCTAAATGGTGACACATAAGCTACGTTCCATCCTCCCACTAACAAGGGCTGCCCTTCTCTGGATTTTGTTTCCATGACTTTAAATAGGCATTTACAGTTCCCTGGAGAAAACATTCAACAAAGGGCACAATCGCAAGCTTCTTCTTTCAAAAGAATTAAACACCTGAAAGTAGCTCCAGACTATATGAACAGCATACTTGTTATACATACATATTCATGTTTATTTAATCATTATATGCTTTCATTGTTCAGAAACCAAATGCTCGGGTTTTGTGAAAATAGCCAATATAATAATGTTCATGTTATGAATACTATGATACGGCTGCAATCCTATTTACCTTTGTAAGTAATTTCTGAAGTTCACCATTTGAAGCACATTGTTCAAATGGCCTAAATATTACCATTAGATATTTGAATATTGTTACTATAATGACATTGTATACACTGTCTTAGTTTTTTTTCCATGTACTTATATCAAAAAACTTATCTTTTTTTCAATTGTGAACATTTCTTAGAAATTTTGGAGAACTTTGTGTAACCTTTATAACTATGATTTAAAAAGAAAAGCAGATGCATTAGTATGTTTGCCTTAACTTGTAGACTAATCCAATTATTGTAAAATAAACCATGAAATCAGTGATTTTTCTAAAATTATGCAGACACTGTATCATCTATAAGCTTAATATTTTCTAGTAAATTAGATTAATTTGGTTTTTTCCCTATTCATCATGTGAAAAACATTGACTAAGTGTTGGATTGGTTTGACACTACTCACCCAGTACTTTTTCACTTGCATTCTCAGGTTTTATCTGTTTGTCTGTGACTTTTCTATTCAGTGTACTTAAATTGTTTTGAGCTTGGCGGCTGACTCTGTATTTCTTTGGCAGAAATACGTTTGAGAGAACTTCCTGGGTTTCTTCCCAGAAAGGGGAAATACAATAGCAGAAGGGAGTTCAGAAGGTGCATGAAATGTCAATGAAAAGTAATACTGCCCCACTGTGATACAGATAAGACATTTTCCTTCAGGAAAAACGTGAAGATATCCCCTATAAAAGAATGTGTGAAAAGAATCTCATTCTGCTAACTGGACTTAAGACTTAGACCTATGAATCCAGTATTTTTAGTTGTATTGATTGGTCTTTCTTACTTGAACCATGAACCTTTTCCACGAGGTGCTGTTATGTTGTGTAATTTCAGAATGTCATGAAATTAGGTTTTACTTGATGAATTGCTCTTCACAGGGGGATTACTGCTTTGTAAGGATTTGTAGGCCTTCAGTAAAGCAGTGAATGGGTGGGTGAATGGTACGCTTGGAAATGCAGATCAGTGTAAGTCAATGTCTCTGTGATTACAGATGCTCTGTACTGCCTCACACAGTTGTGTGGTTCTGTTTTTCTCAAATAGGGTGAATTGCACAGTGTAGTATACTTAACCTGCAGCCTTGCACATACAAACACTGCAAAGGCAGAGGAGTTTGCATTGTGCGTTGATTCTTGTAGTCATCACCTCAGGCTTCTGTGACCAGTGCCCAATGGCTCTTGGCAATTCACCTACTACAGAGTATTCCCAGCAATGCCTACTACACTAATACTGTGCTGTTCATCTTCTTAATGTAACAGGTATAATTCCTAAGGAACTCGTCTATAAATAGACTATAAGGGACAAAGATGACAATGTATATACAGATAACAATATTGTAAATATTTTAAGTAGGATGTGGGAACAGTTTTTAGATTAGTCCTCGCTGTTGAGTGTTACTAGCTCATTAAATTTTTTCCAAGCCTCTTGGTATTGGGTGTGTCTCTTAAAGCTCTAACCCTGGCTCGGTAACTCTGGAAAAAAAAAAAAAAGTGCTTACAACCCGAGGACTCGCAACTGCAAGTAGAGGAAAGGGAAAAGCCTTTCCGGAGCGCCTGCCCGGTGCTCGGTGCGGCGCGGCCCTGGGCCTTGGCGGCGGGGGCGCCGTTTCCCGGCGGGGCGGGGGCGCGGCCGGCGGAAGCTGCCGGGGCTCCCGGAAGGGGCCGGGCCGGGCCTGGCTGCCACAGCGAGCGAGCAGCGGCGCCATGAGCCGCCTGCGGGAGGAGGACGATCCCTACGTGGTGGAGGAACCCAGCGATGAGGAGCGAGCGCTCAGCAGGTGCCTGCAGCTGCCGGCCGCGGGGTGGGCTCGGGCCGGTGGCGGCGGGCCCCGGTCCCCGCCTGGCGTCTCCTGGCCCTGGAGCCGGAGCGACCCTGGCGGCGCCAAGCCGTGAGTGCCGGGGCTCTCGCCCGGCCCTGGGTGCCGCCCCGGGCTGCCCGCGCAGTGCAGGAGGATCGGCCCCGCATCAGCCGTGGCGATTTCCTTGACACCGGCGTGYTTGTATTTCTGACAGCACAGCTCCCTGCGCGGAGTGAGAGCTGCGGGGCCATCGTGGCAGGCCGCACGCAGTCGGCTAAAGCTGCTTTGCCTTTAAACCACAGTTTTAAAAGCATTAAGCTAATAAAGTGTTTTAATATGTACATTGCCCATAAGCATGAGTGTTTCCCAGTGCACCCACCCAGTTCAGATGCTTGTTCTCTAACTGACTATGTCCGTGTTTTAGGCTGTTTGTAATGATTGGGTGAGTAACACTTAAATGTTTGTAGCTCAGAGGATGAGGTGGATGTGCTCCTACATGGCACTCCTGACCAGAAGCGGAAGCTGATACGGGAGTGCCTGACTGGGGAGAGCGAGTCTTCCAGTGATGATGAGTTCCAAAAAGAGATGGAAGCAGAACTGAACACCACCATGAAGACCATGGAAGGCAGATGGAARTCACCAGAAATGGGTAAATCACACTGAACGTCAGTTTGCATATGAAATCATGATTTATGTTTAAGTGGCCAGATTGTCTTTAGGCTTTAGCTGTGCAGTTAAGGACATGTAGCAATATTTACACCACCACATCAATACAGCACAGAATAAGAATTTTGGTGCAGAGTGGCTGTGACTGCTTGGCAGTTCATCTAGGTATTTTTTTAACTTCTGTGGCCCTGAAATTTTGGGGGACTTTTTTTAGTGAATTTTGTTGTAATCAAACTTGGTGAAACAATGTGCCACACCTGTATTTCTTTCACATGACTAAAGATGTCTTGTATKTATTACGTAGGGCAGAGACAGGCATATTTGATGGGGTGTCCTCTGTGTCTAAAGGGAGTGTTAGGGGCAACTTCCCTTCAGACTATACCTGAGGTTCAYCTTTGAGGGAGAGGGAGCAGCTTTGCTCTGAGAATGCCTGTAAATGAAATAATACAAGTGATGTGAATAATAAGGGTGTGGAAATAAATTGGGAGAGCTGTTACTTAAAATACACAGGTAGAACAGACCAYTCTAGACAGAGTAACTTGAAAGTGAAGGTTTGTTCTGGGCTATATACTTGCTTTCCTTTAAGTGGGGTTTTGTTATCACTTCTGATTTCACCTGTAGGTACTTCCTCAGGTGCTGGGCTGACTGGACCTGCCAGCACTTCAAAATACTATGATGACATTTACTTTGATTCTGATTCAGAGGATGAAGATAAAACAGGTAAATGACAAAAACAAGAGGACTGCATCTTTATAGCACTGCTCACTCTCAGATCCTGTAAAATCCTCTTGGGAGGTCATGGGGCTATTCTTGAAAGCAGTCTTTTTGAGGGGAATTACYGGCCTGTATCATCTCAGTGTAGTTCCTGCAATTTTGTGACATATCCCAGTGTAATGCTTTGCAGTCATGCATTTGGAGAAGAGATGAGACAGACCTTTTAAGTTTCAGTTTAGATTTATTGCAAGGATGGAAAATGAAAATTGGAAATMGCGTATGTTGATAATTTATGTCTGRTGSATGCAACACACTCTTGCTCTAATTTTTCCAGATACCCAGGATGTTCGGAAAAACAGAAAACATCAGCAGCGTCGCATTCTCTCCAATGATGAGCTGCTCTATGACCCAGAACAAGACAATAGAGACCAAGAGTGGGTAGACTCACAGAGGAGAGGGTAAGCAACCATAAATATTTGAATTACAAGATGCTTGATATCAACTGAAAATTTTAAATGCAAATGGTAAATGTAGAGAAAAAGCCAGTGCTGTCAAGTGCATGCAATGAAACTATTTTTTATGTATAACTTATAGCATAGGAAACTTAAAAGCCTGTAAAATATTTAAGGTGTATGTAATGGAAGTTGACTCTTTAAAACTACACAAAACTTTAAAAWTTTTTAAATCAAGATTTCCAAATGSTGTAAGCCAGTTTCTTCATAGATCTCATCTAAACAACCATGCTGTGAATTAAAATGTTGCAATATAATTTGATTGCTGATATCAGTGTCTGTTCCTGATATTTGTTGTATTTGTACTTTTGGAAAACTTTGAATTTAGCAAGCCACAAAATGTTCAGAGAAAACAGGTACAATACAAAGCAGCTTTAATGGGGTTTTTTTTGAAGGTTGAAGTAGAATAATGGTTGTTGCAGCAGAAGTAAAATTCGTCACATGAATCTGTTGAATAAGATAATGTATGTTGCCTGCAGGGATTGCATTTGAGATACCTGCCTTGTCAGAGCACAGGATTATTAGGCACAAATTCTCATGCCAGATATATTTGTCTCACCAAAGGAAAATACTCTGTAAATGAAAAATACTGATATTTGTTTTCCCCCACCATATTTGTTTATGTTCTTTGAGTTAATGAAAAATATGTCCAGAAGGAGTCAAGTATTAATTGATGTATTTTAATGCAAAATAGGTTTGACAGTTGAAATGATATGACCAACAGCAAGGGCACGTAATTTCACTTTCTCTCTCTCCTTTCTCTCGAATTGGTAGGTACCGTAACCAGAGAAGAACGCCGCAGCAGCGGCAGGCAAAACCTGCAGCTGTTCCAAATAGTGATGCTGTTCTGAATTGCCCTGCTTGCATGACAACATTATGCTTGGACTGCCAGAGGTAACAACAGTGAACAATAAGGGGTCTTTTTTTTCAGTCAGTATGAATCAGATTTAGTGTTGGATGCTGGTTWGTAAGAATGATGATCAGTTTCACCTCTGCAGTGGGGAAATGTGGAAGAATAGGGTGGAACTTTAGCACAGCGGAGAAGGTAAATTTTTCAAAAAATAATCATGGAGGCTCAACAGCCATTTCAGGTATATTGGGTTTTTTTGAGAGACCTATSTATGTATATGTGTTAGCTTGATGTTCAGAGGCATAAAATTATCCCAGATTATTTTTGTCTAAAAGTGCCTTGTTAAAAGAAGGATTAAGCAAAATCAAGATATTGTATTCTTACTTGGTTTGGGTCTTAGCAGTTACATTTTAATGTGCCAGGAAGGTATTTGGATGAGAATCCACTGTTTTGCCAATCCTCAGTATCTGAGTGTATTGCAGGCCTAGTTAGTGCTTATAACTAGTGCGAAGGAAAAACTCTAGAASTGGGAGTAAATGAGAAAGAAATCATCTGAAATGAGGAATAAACTACCTGTCATTTATTGAGTATTTTTGGTGACTGAGGATGAAATTCCACAGCAGCCTAAAATCGTCTAAATACTGGTCTTCGCTTTGCTGGCTCTGGTACTTCTTGGCCCTGTTCTATAGTTAAGTATTTCAGTTTGTTAAGCTGACAGAAAACTCTATGRTCTTTCCTGGGTTTAATCAACTAAAATAGCTCAGCACAGTGTCATACAAGCAGTAAACCAGCAGATTTTGAGATTGGACTTCTGCAGCCCCAGTTATGTTGGTTTAGGCTGCTGTAAAATTGCAGCCCAAGAGACATTGTGTTAAATTGAACTAGAGCACTGAATTTTGCTACATACTCCAGATATACAGTTCTTAAGAATGATGACAGCAGAAAATTTGTTCCGTGTTTTGTCATAGACATGCTTCTTCCAGTGTGATGTGTCCGTGATGTTATTTATGAATAGGGAATTTCAGACTTGCAACATATTTTCAGTTGTCGGTGCCAGTAGCTGAGTCATTTGTACTCACAGGTTCCTGATCTTTTGCCCGTTACTAGCTATATGAACCAATGCATAATTCTGCAGTACCAGTACCATTGTCGTCCGGGGTGCTTCTTTCAGTAACATCCAGCATTTTTTAAAGTCTTAAAAGCACAACAGATGGCTGCAATTCCTTGTTTTTATTATTTTGAGTAGTTGTGACTTCTGTTTATAAAACTCATATTTATTTGGCTTTCAGCCCTTTGGCATGGTGCTTTTTATCTTTAATCTCATTTTCAGTGATGATAACASATTTCTTGGAAGCAGAGTTGTATGAATGGTATGAATTGCATTTTCTCCTGTTCTCCATAGACATGAATCTTACAAAACACAGTACAGAGCAATGTTTGTGATGAACTGCACTGTTAACAAAGAGGAAATACTGAAATACAGAAAGAAGGTGAAGAGAAGAAGTAAGAAAATGAAGCAGAGCAAAGAAATTGGCTCTACAGAATCAAATCAAGAAGAAGAAGAGGTATATCACCCAGTATTATGTACTGAATGCTCAACAGAAGTAGCAGTAATAGATAAAGATGAAGTTTTTCACTTCTTCAATGTTCTGGCCAGCCACTCTTAATGTGCAAATGCAGGGGGAAAAAATCCTGCACTGTTTTAAGAGTGTGGGAAGTGTTAGGAATGCAGGCACGCTAGCCTTTTTAAAATGTGGTCTTRTAAATGTACATTTTCATCTGAGAACTGTATAATGGTTGGACTTTTTGCCAAGTTTATAAAAGGCATACAGTTAACTGCGTGTATTTGAGAGCAGTACTCTTTCCCATCATCAGGCGGTTACATAATTGGGGATTAAAAATGTTGTAAATACCATGTAAAATCTGTATATTATGATTATTGCCTGTATATATACTATATTCATTATTTCAGTGTGTATTAGGACTGCTTCTTGGAATAAATACTTTATAGTTACTGATTTTCCATAGCTGCATTGGTTACATTTATAGCATGGGATTAAACAACTCTCAGTCTGAGATGTTTGATGTCCGTAGGCTGTTGTTCTTGGTGGATTTGCACACATGTAGGTCTGTGTTGCTTCTTCCCRGCTGGCAACAAAGCCATACAGCTGCTTGCTCACTCCTCTCCACCCCCTCCCTTAGTGGGGAGAAAAATCTGGACCTGCAGACCCGTGGAGAGAGGAGCCCACACTAGAGCAGGTGTCCTGGTAGAACTTGTGAGACTGCAGCAGACCTACGCTTGGAGCTGGCYGTGCCTGAAGGACTGCACTTCGTCAAAAAATGACCCACATAGGAGATGTGTGGGAAGAAATGTTGCGTGTGGGATGGACTTRTGTTAGAGAAGTTTGTGGAGTGCTGTCTCCTGTGRGAGATACCCAACACTGGAGCGGGGGAGAGACTTCTCCCTGAGCAGTGGCAGGAACAACATGTGATGAACTGACTCTAATCCCCATTCCCTGTCTCCCTGCACTGCTGTTGAGGGAGGAAGTAGAGCTCCAGAAGGAGGGAGTGGGGGGAAATGTTTTTAAGATTTACTATATGTCTCATTATTGTGCTTTCATTTTATTAGTGATAAATCACTAACATCCCCAAGTTAATACCAATCAGTTGATATCCCCAAGTTSAGTGTTTTGATTGTATTTGGTGAGTGAGCTCTCCCAGTCCTTCACTCATGAACCTTTCACTGTCTTTTCTCTCCCGCATCTGTTTACACAGGGGAGTGATAGAGCAGCTTTGGGGGGTGCCTGGTGTCCACCCACCACAACAACACAACTGCTCATCACCTGCTGACCARTAGCCAGCTTGTCCCTGAACAGCAATCATTTACCTTCCAGGGATCTCCCCCAGTTTATATACTGGGCATAATATTCTACGGTATGGAATATCCCTTCAGCCAATTTGGTCACTTGTCCTGCCCATGCTCCTTCCCAATTTTTTGTGGACCTCTGGCAGAGCACAAGACAATGAAAAGTCCTTGACTTATCCCAAGTACCACTTAGTGTTTTGCCAGTGGGTAGGGTGAGGGACACACCAATTTACGGGACAGTATAATTTATTACAATGCAAAACTGAAAATAATCACAAAAGGGTAAGATAAGCAATGCACCTAATCTTTACTACAAAAGAATGCTTGTAGTGATTAACAAAGATGCATCAACAGTTAACCTAATCCTTGACCATCATYGATATCTTTAAAACATCAACTGTGGGGGAAAGCTGCCACAGTAAAGGATTGGAGAACTTCCCCCACTAACTGGGAACTCCAGCAGTGTGTCCACCTTGCCGGCCATGAGGCTCCCCTGACTTTGCTGTGACAGTAGCCTAGATTTTACACTGTTTAAACAATGAAGCTGACATAATTTCTAATTTCATTCTTCTGTTGGCTTTCCCTTAAAGCCTCAATGAGGAACCAAGGGAGTTGTCTTTGATCCTATACCCCCTAATAAGGCCAGATGTGGCCTTACCCAGTTTCTAGATATGGAAAGGTAAATRCATGTTTTGCCAATAAATGAACACATAACAATACKTTGTAAATTCCAGCATTTGGTTGAAATGTTCATCTAGAGGTCAGCTTTGTCTCAGGGCCTGTTGTTCAGGCCTTAGCACTTCACATACCAACAACCAAAGCATCAGTGTGTTCATGAGAACATTGTCATACTAAATCCAAGCTATTGGCACAAATATGAACTATCCCAGCCAAAACCAGGACACTGAAAAAGAAGGAATGGTCATGATATAGGGATTTTTGGTTCACTGAGATCTCAAAAAAAAGGAAACTTTATACAGAGTGAGAATGAGCTTTTATTGGTTTTATGGGTATTACTGTTCTGCCACTGATCATGTAAATCAGCATATTAATGCYGAGTAGTACAGCTAAATGTTGTATATGTCAATATCTATATGAAGAAAGTACTGGAATTTATTGTCCTTTTTCCTTATGATTATACATTTTAAGAAGAAATCTTTAGACAGATCTATTACCATAGAACTAGTTTGTATGCTTTTGCTGTTTYAGTACATTTACAGCTTCTTTATTGAAGTGCAGAGTTTCTGCTACTGGTATTTATGTCTGTGAAGCCATTGCATTGTTAATACTGGATCATTCCCTGTCTTCTTCCAGGCATACACCCAAGAGGCTAACTCCTACTTTTTATTAGTAATTAGCATTTCTTTATAGCCTGATATTTTTTAACTCAACTTTGAACAAGRGTCTGTCAGAAAAAAAAWT